AGACCTTTTTTAAAAAAATGTGTTCATAGAGCTGCTTCTTGGGAAGAAGTTTGCAAGACATGAGTATCTGGTTGAACTCTTGAAATACTGCCATATTAATGTCCGCGTTTATAAAAATGATCTCAGGTGCTGCTCTCACTGATCTCACAGGCCTGGAAGCCCACATGAAAGCAATATTGTGCATCGACTTTGTTAACAGTGTTCGGCCAGGCCAGAGTTTTAATTGTAGAGGGTATGTTAAAAGTGTTTTTATGGCTAAAAATTGTCCTCAAGACACAAAGATCAGTTTTGAATCCTTGAGCAGATTTCTCTGCGTGACAGGATCTGACTCAGTTGTAGAAGGTAAAACAGAAGGAGCAGCTTCATTTCTTAACCACGAGAAAAGAAACAATTTCTTAAAGTACAATCACGTGAGCTTAAATTTTGCCTTTTTCTCAGCCTAAGGGTGACACCCAGTGGCCGATTAAATTATCGCTATTTCCTGAAAATGATAGCTCACGCCCGAAGGCCTGGGACGCCTCTTGCCTCCCAGGAAAGCTGAAGCAGATACTCAGATCAGCCCGGCACACGCAGGACCCTCCTGGGGGGTGTGCGGGCTCGAGGGGACAGGTCACAGCGGCGCTGGGACTCGGTGCCCCCACGCCATCCGTCCCTCCCGCCCAGGAGGCTGTGGAGCGCACAAACTGACTGGTTCGCTGGCCAGTGAACCCCTAAATTCAACGGCGTGGTGGGAACACTGACTCTGGCTTTACAACCAGCAGCCCCGGTTCTCGAGCAGGACGCCAAGAAATACAAGCCGGTCGTTTCCTCACATTCTCTCTGCTGTTTGCGGGGTTTTATTTTTATGCCTCATTTCTGCTGTAGCTCCTTTCCCTTCTGTATGTCACCACGGCATAGCGTAGGTGCTCACCAGGCTGATCTGCTGGGTCCCAGGCAGCAACAGACCAACATCCCGATGCGGTTACCTCAGCGGGAATGGAAAGCGTCGAGAGATGCATAGTGAATTCAACTGGGCTCACTCTTTTTAGGCATCTGAAGAGGCGCGAAGAAATAAAAACATTCTGCGGCAGCTCTACCCGTCACCATCACCGTCTCTCGGCAAAGCGCGCCCGGATTCGTGCGCGTCGACGCGTTGGCAGTCTGCGCTGTCTGCTCTGGCACCCTGGCCTGGGAAAGGGCCGTGGGGGTAGAGCACGGCTGAAGGAGCAGGCCCAGACCACCGCTCTGCAAGTGCTAAAACCCGCAGAATCGCGTGTTTGGCGCTCTAGACTCCACAACGGACGAGTTAGAATGCCCTAATTAGAAGCAAGTAAACTACTTTTGTGAGTTCGCCACCAAGCGCAGTGCTGGGCACAGCTCCTCCCCAGCACGGGGGCGAGAAGTGGTGTGTGGGCTACCAGCTCCTGCCCTCGGTCATCTGTGGGGCAGGGACACCACGCGGAGAGTGCCCGGGCACTGCCGAAGGGTCACCCGAAAACCCTGGTACCCGTGCCACTGCTCTCTGTCGTACAGCGTATGACGACGTGACCACGAACAACATTCCGAGGGTTTTATTAACAAGTATAATACATATGCATTGTATACTAAATATAGTATGAGGACTGTACAGTACAAATTTATGTTCACAGTTTGACATGACAAAATGTCATTACTGAATTCCCATTGGACTACCAAAGTAGAAACAGTGAAAGTACATTAAACGGTCACATCTTTAGTAAGAAAAGATTACCAAAATGTCTCTGTATTTGCAAGTTATAGTAATGCACGCTAGAAACCTTTAATTACCCATTCAGTCTTATTAGCTTATAAAATATATTACATTTTATTAAAAAATTTCTGCATAGTTTATACAAGTATTAAAGTAAATATAACATCCCTGCTATATTTGCAGGTGAGAGATGCTAAGCAGAAAGATTATTTTGACCCTCTAAAGTACATTAAAAAACAGTGCTAATATCTGTAAAATATAATGAAAACTGGTGTAGCCCTCTTAAGGTATGTAAAATGCTTTCTAATTTTTTATAGAAAAGGATTTGTATTCATCTACATGTTGCTAACCTTGACAGAGACAACAAGATGTGGCATTAGGAATATCACTGCAGAGTAGCAGTGTATATTTAAATAAAGCCACACACATTAATAACTGCTTAGCTTTTTGCGATTGTCTTAGAAACTAGTAATTTATTATAATCAAATGGCTTGAACAGGCACATTTTAGCAAAACAGTATTACCTGTTACACACTGCACAGTGCAATACTGCTAGGGAAAAAGGTGGGATTTTTAAATATACATGTGCTGCAGGACAAGGGTTTTCTATCTTTGTATCTAAACTGGCTTCTCTTGAGGGCAAAGATGGAAGGACTGGCTTTAAGAAGTATTTAGTTGTGTATATTTAAAAATTACAAGATATCCCTCAAATCAAGATTTGCTAAAATGAATCAATGAGCCAGTTAAGAAGATGTAAACTCACATTTTCAGCTGAGAGATGAAAGTGTGTGTTTGACTTTGACATCCCACAAAAGACACCACAGACACAAGTGAAATATCCTATAAGCAAGGCATTTACATGAAATAATGCCAAATATTTATATTTAATATTTAAATTTCTGTAGTTCTAAATCACAAGGCACATGGATAAAGATATTTTAAAGTTCTATTGAATGTCCACTGTATATGTCCCCACAATTAGCAAAAATATTTTCAGGAAAAAGGTACATAGGCTAATGAACGAACATGACAAATAACCTAGCTTAAATTCTCCAAAGTAACTCTTAGTTACAAAGAACTCCTGCTTTTAGAGTACTTGATTTTAGAGTTCTAATTAAAAAAAAAAAAAAAAAAATTAAAGAAAATATTTTGTGAAAGCCTTAAAAGAGAAATAGAGCATTGGAAAGAAATGTTCTTTAAACATGGCAAATTTCATGCATTTGCATTTGTTAAGCTAAAAATGGGACCAATTGCCATTGAGCTGCTTATGTCTATAGGATCTCATCTGCTTTTTTCCCTAGAATATAATAGAGAATTATTTTCATCCCAGGATACTAAATGTCTGTAGACTTGTGACGGTTGCTACGGGGGCTGTACACAGCCTCTCGGTCAGCGATGTGTCTGCATTCACGGAACTGCCATCAAAACCTAGAGCCTAATGAAGGCCAATTCTGCTACCACTGACAATAAAAATATCCACCCCAACCCCCCATTCTACAACAGCTGCTCATTAATATAATTCTGTTCTCTGCAAGTTCCTCAATGTTAGTTACAACCTGGCCTACCAAAGAAAGACTGATTAATCTCCCCAGGTTTTTCAGCTCCATAGATAAGCAGATGAGGGCCAGTTATAAGATCTGGTGTAACTTCCCTCAGTCCTAGCGAAGTGCTGTAACAGAGCACGTGGATCTTCCTCACAGAAGCTTTGCAGCACTGTTTCCAGGCCTGCTTTGCAAATCCTTGTCCTCCCCTTTGTAGAGCACATGTTCAGGGCTCTATTCCTTAAATAGCCGGTTCCAGACTCCTACACGTAAGCTTTGTTAAACAACTGGAACAATACTTTCTGTTTTACAGCAACTGCCGTAGGAGCGTTTTTCTCCTCTCCAATTCTGTGGGTATGAGGACCTCAGCAGAACAGCTGGAAAACACCTATCACGACAGGAAGGCTCCTTGCACTCACACTCTTCCATCTGCAAGATTTTTCCAGTTTGCTGTTGGACTCCACAAGACGTGGCAGCACAGCCTACCTGCTCCATTAGCTGAGATATACCCACCTGCAGATGGACACTCCACCTGCCTCCTCCTGGAGAGTTTAATGAAACTCCTCCTCCCCTCAACCCTCCATTTTCCGAGCAGGTTTTTCCAAGAGCAATGAAAATCTTGACTTTAGTATGTTGAGTTTGCAGGGAATGGTGTTTACCTTACATAGCGGAAAGAAGAAAACAACACCGTTGTTTGAGAGCCTAGGGAAATACATCCTGTTTCCTTGCAGTACCATGAAGTCTGCCAGCTAATAAAGACAGAAACCTTCCTTTCAGCAGGCTTTCAGAGGCAGGAACATTTCTAGGGTCAACTGCAGGTTGCTTGAATTCAGTTTATTTTATCTATTGAGTTGTATTTGCTGACATGGGTGTTAACACTGGCTGATGTGATACTTTAAGGCAAAACACATCCACAGGAAAGCTTCGTCTACCTACCGTTGAGAGACTACCAGAGTCACAAATCAGAGTTATCAAAAGGATGATTTGATATACGTTTTTATCCAAAACAGATAACATGGCTCAATTTATCATCAGAAGTGCTTCATATCTGATGCCATCTTCTCATAAAAATATTGTGGATTAATAATTTTAAATACTGTAATGTACTAAAGTGGCACACACAACAATACAGTTTGGAGCATTTCTTACGTAATGATTGCTATTTTCTGAGGTCCAGCAAAGAGAAAAAATTATTTAGAGGAAATGTAGGGGAGTGATTGTAGAGGGACAGTCTATATCCCTGAAATGAAGTGTGGTAGGTTTCTACGAGTATCATCTAATGCCATGTCATAGGAGAGTACCATGTGTGTTCCATCCATACACTTGCACAGAAACCAGACATACAGTGTCACACAAGGTCTTCGTTTAACAAATCCACCAGGGCATTATGCAATAAAAACAAGGATATATACTACACTATAATACAGAGGACTGATGACATTGGTTTAGATGCACAATATTATGTACAGACCAATTCCTGCCGATTTTTTCTTCTTGACTGGGGTAAATGATACTATGACTCAATCTTTCTGTAAAGTAATTATAATGCTTAGATTTATTTCTACAGTGTTATTCACTGTTTGGGCAGAGGGGATTTCTAAATCAGGTGTCTTTCTAAGAAAAACTGTTGTGTTAACCATATTGCAGAAATCAACATCGTTGGGAGAGTCCATTCATTGCATTGTTGAGTATAAAATAAGAGTGTATCCTTTACAGGGCACATAAATAAAAGTCTCTGGCAAGGACTAGCATTTTGGATATTCAATAACATTTACTAGTTTATCAGTATATGCTGGGTTGATTATATGAAGAAACCAACAAAAGCTGTTAGTTTACAAATTCCCTTATTCACAATGGAATACATTAAACATACTGTCTGGAGAAAGGGTTTGCTTAGCATCCCCAGGAGAAAAAAAAAAAGTGTTCACATTCTTTAGGTCTGACCCGTGGCAAGGACATAGAAGGGTTAGATAACATCTGTTACTGACCATACGTAAGCTTTTAATGGTATAAACTCAGAGATTCAGACCAGCTGAATCCAAACTAAAATGCATGTGTAAAAAAAAAAAAAAAAAGTGTGACAGGAGTCAGGGACAGAAGACATTCAAACTAGCATGTGGCGTTTTCTGTGAAGAGCAAGATGGTCCGAACGTGAAAAGCTACGGTCACAGTCTGGGCACTGAAAAGGTTTGATTCCTGTATGCTTGCGGAAATGCCGCGTTAGTTCATCAGAACGAGCAAACTTCCACGTGCACCCCTCCCAAGTGCATTTGTATGGTTTTTCACCTGGAAAAAGAAACACAGAAGCGGGGATTTAAGACACAAACAAACCAGTTAAATATTTGACAGATTTATCCTCCTGCCTTGTCAAATTTCAGCAAGTACTTTAATGCTTACTCAAAAAGCCTCCAAACAGCACTGGGCTGCAGAGTACTCTGCACTAGGAACTGTGTAGTCAAAGTTAACAGATCAAAAAGTTGTTTCCTGCCACAACTTATTTTTTTATTGTCCCTCTGTTCCTTCCTCTGCCATATTAGCACTTGTTTTGTCTCATCAAGCCCAGAAGTGTGAAGGTTTAGGCATTTGTTCAAGTATTTCAAACCCAGGACCCCGTATTCTAGATTAGTTGGGGGAAAACAACTGGTGCTACCATTCAGCACAGCAGGCAGAAATCTTGTTGTGACCTCTCAGTTACTGTAGTATAAGCAACCAGCACCAGTGTCACAAGGAGGTCAACTTAAAATCTCTCTCAATCATTACTTTCTAATATGTGATATTCCTTGTCCTTAACACCATTGTGCTGCCCAACAGGTAAAGGGCTGGCTTGATGTAAGACAGATGTAAACTGGCCTCCGTTTTACCTAGAAGTGTCCCATATCTTTGTAAGAACCTTGGATGTACATATATTCATTCAGCATGCCAAGACGAACATTTCTGCGGAGAACAGAGATAGGGAGATGCTTACTGAAACACTCCCTCAGAAAAGAGCACTATCGGACCAGTGGTTAGTATGTCCACATGAAGCAAATGTGTTTGTATTTGGCACATGGTCCAGACTTTTGCAAATGGGCTACTCCCATGGAAGTCTCAGTCAAATTTAACAGTGATGTAAGAAGTGAGGTAGTGCAATTTGAACTGATTTGGTGTTTACAGGGTGTGCAGAATGAGTAATCTGCAAGCAACTGGACAGAAAATGAGCAAAGGGCCAGTGAATGTAAAGCATACCAGCATACACCGTGATCCTGCTTTGGCTTACAGTCTTTTGGTGTGGGTTTTTCCTGGTGCACCCTCTGTCTTTTGCTCAGCCTATAATTATATTCAGCGCAATGCCAGATCTAACTTCTGTCATTTTGTTATTCACATCTGTGGTCACCTGGCATTAGCACAAACTAAAAGCTTAGTCTACTATTTTACCATAGACTTGACGAAAGAAAAGCATAGCAATGCTCAAACCTGTATGGGTTCTTCTGTGAGCTTTCAGATGGGAGCTTTTAGTATAGACTTTGTTGCAGCCTTCATAATCACATCGATGTATTCTGCGTTTTCTTTGCGTGTCCGGAGATTCCACAGGTAAAGGTCTCTTTCCTGGCTGAACTATAACTGAAGGGTGATTCCTGCAAAGCCAAATTGAATGCTAAAAATGAAAAACATTTAGCACAGCAAACCCCAGCTAATACGATTCATGACAGAGCCCTTTATTCACTACCAGTTTGTCTCTTGGCAGAAAGAACAACATTACACGCATGTCGACAAATTCCAAGAGGGCTTAGCAAGTTTCGTGTATTCTAGCAGTAATATTTTTAAATGTTTACTCACTCTGTGGCATGATGTAGCCATTTTTACTACTCCCTAGCTTTTTTTAAACTTACAAAGGAAAAAAAACCCTTCAAATTCCTGTTTTTCAGTCAAACCCAGATTTCTCAAACTCTGTGAGTTCATAGTGAACTTCTCTTGTACTTGCTAACAGTTTTTCTTCTTCCTTCAAATGTAACTAATTCACTTGTAATTGGAAACAGCTATTCCATATTATTAAAGAAATTGTATCTTTAGGGTTTCAAAGCAGAACTCGATCTTTATTGTTCCAGCCACTCCTTCAGAGAGTAATTAAGAATTTCCTGTTTGGTGCTGGCAGGAGGGTGCGGCCTCCCTACACCACTGACGTCAATTCCTAAAAGTAGAGTTTAGCCTGTGTGGCACACCCACAGGATGTCTGAAGTTGTCCCTCTACCTTCATAAACATCATTTTTTGCTTTTGAAGCCCACAGGTATAGTGCAGGTAAGACATGTACTACTAAGGCTCTACAGAGGAGTCTGGACAGGCTGGATCGATGGGCTGAGGCGAATTGTATGAGGTTCAACAAGGCCAAGTGCTGGGTCCTGCACTTGGGTCACAACAACCCCATGCAGCGCTGCAGGCTTGGGGAAGAGTGGCTGGAAAGCTGCCCGGCAGAGAAAGACCTGGGGGTGCTGGTCAACAGCTGGCTGAATACGAGCCAGCAGTGTGCCCAGGTGGCCAAGAAGGCCAACGGCATCCTGGCCTGTATCAGAAACAGTGTGGCCAGCAGGAGCAGGGAGGTGGTTGTTCCCCTGTACTGGGCACTGGTGAGGCCGCACCTCGAGTCCTGTGTTCAGTTTTGGGCCCCTCACCACAGGAAAGACACTGAGGTGCTGGAGTGTGTCCAGAGAAGGGCAACCGAGTTGGTGAGGGGCCTGGAGCACAAGTCTTACAAGGAGCAGCTGAGGGAACTGGGGCTGTTTGGTCTGGAGAAGAGGAGGCTGAGGGGAGACCTTATCGCTCTCTACAACTACCTGAAAGGAGGTTGTAGCGAGGTGGGTGCTGGTTTCTTCTGTCAAGTGACTAGTGATAGGATGAGAGGAAATGGCCTCAAGCTGTGGCAGGGGAGGTTTAGATTGGACATTAGGAAAAATTTCTTTACTGAGCGGGTTGTCAGGTATTGGAACACGCTGCCCAGGGAAGTAGTGGAGTCACCATCCCTGGGTGTTCAAAAAACACGTAGACGTGGCACTTCAGGACATGGTTTAGTGGGCATGGTGGTGTTGGGCTGACGGTTGGACTCAATCTTAAAGGTCTTTTCCAATCTGAACAATTCTATGATTCTATACATATGGGCTCCTGTGACAAACAAAAACTTAAAACAGTCACGCATGTGAAAACATATCAAGCTTCTTAAAAGGTGTCATTGACTGCGGATAGTTAGGTTTGAACAACACCCCTACTGTAGAACTGGGGACAACCTTGATTCTTTCTTCCATGTCAGTGTTAGAAAAGGAAGTAAGTATGTTCATCAAAAAGTGGCATTACAAATCTTGCAACCTCACAAAGGCTTTTCAACTCGTTAGCAGACCTGTATCAGTGCTTTTAATATATTTTTTAGCTTTTAACTGAAACTTAGTATATAGTGTACAGATACTAGCAGTCCTTGTTGCAAAACCAGCTCCTCCATGTGACAGAAATAAGCTTTCTAGAACTCCCGTCTTTTCTCAGTTACTGTATTTCACATTTCTTTACCGATTGAATTACATTTTATAACGTTAGGTTGTCTTAGTTACTTAAACTAAGTTCCTTTAGCGCCTCATTTTCAGAAACACTGAATACCTACTCCTTTCAGCAAAATAAAGGGCATGTGCTAAAGACAGAAAATCTTGTGCATGGTTTAGAAAGGAAAAAATTTGCTATTACTCTCCACAGCAGCAGGATGGGAATTACTGATGTGGGAAAAGTTTAATTCTGTTATTAGTTCTTTTATTACAGTTACAAGCCTGAAATTTGGAGCCAAATTCTCTTTCTTGGGTGTTTCTGTGACTGTTGAGTGATGTACTCTTCAAGTACACATTAAATCTAGCTAAAAATACTGTAATGGCGGGAAACCCCAGATGGTGATGTTAGACACAGATGTACATACTTAAATAAGAAAGGCAGGCTTTTAGCTTCCAAATAAATGCTTCTCTAAAGCAATGCTCAGTTTTAACGCTGTTGCATACCAGTCTTTTTGGAGAAGCTCTGGCTTAGGACAGCACGCAAACTTGGTTTAAATCCCTATGTGTGGAGGCTAGTCCTGGACATGGTAACATCTGGAAAAAGGGAGAAAAAGGATATTGGCTGTACACTGTTTGTGATGGTTTTCAATCTAAGAGCGTGTAAAAAAACGATGAGAATTTGTCTCTGTCTCATTTTCCCTTTAGCGGAAAGGAGGCTGGCAAGACTATGGAATGTTATCAATAATCAGATAGGGTGTGGCAGTTTTAAAAAATGGTTAAGGTGGTGTCAAAACTCAGAGTAACATTAAGTAAGTGCCAATAACAAAAGCACAGCCCTAATTCTTTCATTCCCTCTTACACAACCAGATACAAATTCACCTAAGTCTAACTATTTAAGCGCCATTCTTTAATAAGTAAGAGTATCTTCCAAAAATCATGTTACATTTTCAACAGCTTTTTCCCCTTCTTTACCAAGACCATACTATGTTGACAGCATGAGTTATAGACTTCGACACTTGCACCCACGAGAAAATAGGACGTTAATGAGGCTTCTTATATTTGGTCAGAGATTATTACCTCAAGTTTGATTTTAGAAATAACTGTATAGTTATGCCAATTATCAGACATACTAGAAAGTCCAAAAATCGCTACAGAAATGCCACCAACTTTATGTACATAATGTGTATGCCAAAAATTAACACTAAAGCAAAATCAGTCACTTAAAAGTGAGACTGAAGGTTTCCTATGCTCCTTTAATGTCGCTTATGTGTCTGAATAGTGCACTCTGGGCAGGTGGAACCTATGAAAAATGATAAAAAAATCATTGCCTAACTATAGCTCATGAAGCAGAGAGAGGCTGATGAAGCTGTGAGACAACAGGAAATTTTATAAAGGTCTAGGTCTCTCATCTTGTAACTTGTGTGATTTGTCTCTGTATTTTTTTTTAAATGATAAAAAGATGAAAACTACCATTTACAAACTTCTTGTTGCGGATATAGCAGAATGTGAATTTGAAAGGGCTGGCTTTAGGAACGAGCAAGAACTTCAGCTCTACAGGACAGCTAGGAAGCAATTTAAGCCATTACAATGTGAGGACAGGGTCTCCATAAACATAATGTTCTGCACGGGCAAGCAAAGGAGATGCTTTGAAAACACAGACTATTCAAATGTTTTTTTGTGACAACACTACCTACACGTTATACCAAATTTTATATTCTTTGCTCAGCGGAAGGGTTTCCTGTGGAAACTGGACTCATTGGGAAATAATTAATGCAAATCACTAATGCAGGTGACAAGTCTGCAGAAGTCTCAGCCCTGGAGGAAGGGTGTGGCATCAGCCAGGAACAGCACTTACTGGTTTGCTCTTGTTAAAGAGGCCTAACAAAGGACAAAAGTAAACCGAACCATTTCATAGTCCTGACCTAGCAGAAGTTAGTTCCAAGTACATGCAGACCTGACTCCCTTATGTGGTAGGTCCATTATGGAAGATAAGGAACTCCCTAGTAAACATGGATGTTTACTATTTTATTTTATGTTTAGTATAATAAACCAGATAAGGTTATTTTTAAATAAACAGCATACAGTTTATAAAAGCTAGCTGGCAACTAGTTAATTGCAAAGAGCCTGCAATCTAGAAGCTGCATCTAAGCTGGTTAGAGACCTGAAAATGAGGAGGGGTGCCCACAAGAAGGCTATGCAGAATGTAGTTAGCTTTGGAGCCACGGTGTGCCTTCTAACCTGGGAACAGTCATGAGTAAGAGGAAGAGGCTGCCTTCTGAAGGGAATGCAGCCTACTGCCCATCTCATGCTTTCTCCCTCTTTCTGAATCGCCCCACATTCACACACCGGTTTTGGGAGTCTGGCTTGGAGCCCTTTTTCCCCACTCTAGGAGGTGAGGTCTCACAACCATTCTGAGGGCGACGGTGAGCAGGAAGAAAGGGCAGAAATGGATTCTGAGGTCATGTACTGTGAGCCCAGCTGAGTTCCCAGCTTCAGCTCCTGCCAGAGTCATGCCAGCAGCCTGCACGCCTGCCCAGAGCAGTGCCTGCTGAATGATGAGCTGGGCTCTGGGCCATTCCATAATTTTGGTTAAGTTGACAGAATTTTCCCTAGGAAAACAGGAAATGGCTCCTCAGGTACTTCCTGAGAAATCTTTAATATTTCCAATTAAAAAGTTTCTGCCCCAGACCTCACTACTTCTTTCTAGCCCTTGCTATGCCTTCTGTAAACAGGACTGGTTTAACCCCTGTTAGATCTGTGATCCAGTTCATGCAGTGGCCCCAGTTACACTTGTACCAGCACAATGAATTGGTACTGACTGGGGCAGAAACAAATGGCTGGGAGGAGAGCAAACTTCAGGATCTACTTGAGCTGCCAAAAAAAACTCCAACGGAACAACGGTCTTAGGTAAACATGGAATTTCACTCAATATATGCAGAACTTGTAGGCCTGAGGGGGTTCTTTCCACCAAGTAGCCAACATTTTTTAAAAGACAAAGAGGTCCTCCAACAAAAAGTCACAAGAATCTTTTTAAAAAAAGGTATTTTAGGTAACATAAATACAGAGATCAGTATGCAATGTCTTTACAGTATCTTTCCAGTTTGCTGCTGGTTTTACATAAACAGGTCTCACTGGCTTATTGGGATTTCTACTTTCAGTAAATCGTAGGATAGCGACTAACATTACTTTAGAAATGCATTATATTAAGTGGCCAAGCTATGTGGTTGCGATGTACCAATACGTATCAACTCCTGTACTGCTAAAGACAAAAAAAACATCGAAATCACATTTCACAGTGGCAGGGGAATGATGTTTTTCTGTATTTTATCACATGTCCTAAAGCACAGCAACACTTCCCCCCCTTACCCCCCCCTCAAAATTGGTAACTGCTGCAATGAACTACTTTTCATTCTTCTGCTGATCTTGGGACTAGCTAGTAGTCCAAGCAGTTAGCTACTTACTCTTGCAACATTACTTGCTGGGGAGACAATGAGGTCATCATTGGAGGTGACATTTGTTCAGGATAGAAGTCAGTCTTCGATGGTTCGCTTCCTGGCTCTACTTTGATTGTTTTCTTCAGTGTAGGCTTCTCATAAGACTCAATGACAGGCACTGTATGGGGGAGGGTAGGAGAGGGAAAGCAACACATCAAAAATACAGAGAGTTATGGAAATAAAAACTGTATGTAAAAATCTACAGTTAAAACAAAAGAAATCCCCCAGCTCTATATTTAGTGCAAGAATTTATGCTAAAATACAAAATCTTCCAATTTTAGTCTATCTCCTGATGAACTATGATGCAAAACAGTTCTCTTCATCAGTCCAACATTTTTATCAGTCAGTAGATAAATCTCAGTAGATAAATAGCTTTATGCAGGTATAAATCAGAACAGAATACAACCTTGGTAAGTTTGGTAAAATAGTTACACAATAAATTCTATGCCTGTATATTTTAGAAGAACAGGAATTATGTTCCATTTCCTAAAATGTGAAAAACACACAAAGTGCTTGGATATACAGTTATTTTCTCAGGATGAGATGGCATAAAAAAGAAACTCTGACAACACCAACCTTGCATGCTACTTGGAGTTTCCATCTCATCTGCAAGAACTGTGGACACCATGATGGGCTGCTGAAGATGGGGAGCATACATAAAAGGAACTGGCTGGACCACAACAGGCTGTATAACTGGGAGTATTCCAGGGCTTCTCAGTCCGTGGCGTGAAAGAGCGGCTGCCATTACAGGTGGGATTGTTATTGGCATGGAAATAGGCTGTACTCCTGGGGGTGATGGTGTGAATTTACTGAGAGGTGAGCTGGGTGAGGACAGAGTCAATCCAGGTGAAGTTCTCCTATGCACAGTCTGAAATTTTAAGGGGGAAGGAGAACTTCCAGTTGAAGGTGGTGAGCTCCGTTTGTTCACTGTAAGGTCTACTGGCTCCATCTGGATTCCATTTGATAGTCCTTCGGGGTTTGAGTAGAATTTATTGTGCAACATACTCGGTGTAGAGTAAATGACGCTATATTTGTTTGGCTTCATTTGGTCCATGTAATTGGACGGGTATGACTGTCAGGAGTAGGAAAAAAATAAAGAAAATCAAATAATAAATCAACACACACACAATTACTGCTGAAAAAGAAAGGCAGCTAATAAAACTGAGGCAAAATGAAAAAGTTTCAAGAAGGCACTTTAATGTACTTTCTAAATAAAAGTGAATTAAATAAAGCCTAAGATTTCACACAAAGGAAGTTATTCAAGTACTGACTGATTCACTAACTGTTTCAGAAGCAATGTAAAACAGATGATGAAAACAAATCCTCAAGGCTTATTCAACTCTTTTTCTCCCTTAAAAACTGCTTTTCATACACTAAGCTGCACATTACTTAACTGACCTGGGAGATACATGGTGCTGTGCCCAGCATATAACTGTATAGTGAGGATCATGAAGTCAAGCAAGAGGGGAGTTAAATTGGACTTAGAATTGCAAGTAATGGGTCCCAATCAACTGCTTAAGTAATTGGAAAACAATCACCACTAAAGCAAGAAATTACGTATTTGAACCCTACAAGCAATAAAAACCACACAGCTGAACTATATAAGTGATGGGTGATAAACTCAAGAGTGCAAAAGGTAAATTCTAAAATTTTTTTTTTTTTTTTGAGAAATAAAGCAGCTAACTAGCCCATCAGATTTTGGAAAACTGGTATAAAGATAAACATTTGGCACATTGGAAGAATATTCCTGTTAATGGTCGCCAGCAGTTCTCATTACAAGATCATATAAACCCTGAAGCTAATCTTGACCTATGTGACGATCTTCATATTTTAGTGGAAACAATTTTTGTAAACCAAGAAGTATTAACAATTATTGCAGAGTATAGTGTTATTAAACAACTATCCAGATCGATTTTGCATTTTAGAAGTGTTGAAAACTGAGGTAACTTAAAATGGAACCTAATGCGATGTTCTAACATGGCAGACAGACATAGAAAATGCAATCCACACAGTTTTTTAGCCTTTAGATGTTGTAAATTTTTTGAAATGAAATGCTATCTTTGGATTCTAGGTAAGTAAAGCTTCACATTAATGCTAAGCAGTTTCACACTAATATTGAAAAACTGCTGAATTCTTTGGCACCAAAAAGACCTTGATAAGTGGGGTTAAAAAAATATTTGAAATGGTAGAAAGTGAAACAGAGTAGAAGTATAAAACTATTGTATTTTTATACAATCATTTCCATGACATTTCAATTATTTTCTTCCCAGGGTGAAAACTTCTAGCAATACATCTTCCTGATTTCTTACCTCTCCCTTGCCTGTGAGGAATAGGTAGTTGATTTTAAATGTCAACATTAACTAAAAGTATTTTTGCAAAATGACACAAATGTATTTTTCTTTTTTTCAGTTACTGTTTGAAACAGTGAGTTTAAGTATTAAATTTTCCTGCATTCATACCACTGTGATAAAACAAAGCTGAGTCACCTATTCCACAAAATACTCAAATAAAGCAGCATACACAATGGTGATTAATCTTAAAACAGTAAACATTACATTAAAACCGCTGAAACTTTATTTATTCTCTTTATGACTATTCTTACAAATTCAGTCTATAAAAATGTTCATCTTCAATGGTAATTGGTTCCTCAGAATTCTATTAAAATACCTTTATTGCAAGCAGTGCTGACTAAAACAAGCTCTATAGATTTGCCACCATTGCTGAGTCCAGTGACAAATTTATTAACATTCTAAGTGATGAAGGCCACTGAATATTGATAGAGTTTAATATTTAACAGTACTTAGTATCTACTAAATCTGATCAAGTTATGGGCATAGGCAAAAATTCAAAATTTAAACACATAAGAGATACTAAGTACTTCTGTTAAAATTGTCGTTACTGGTTGCCAGTACAAAGTCTACTCGGCTTCAACAGACTGTAAATGTTCCACCACTAAGCCTCAGTGCATTTACAGTGCTGCAAGTTTGTCAGGGATGATCACAAGGTCACTACCTATGAACATTTCTTCCATTGCAAGAATACTAGAAAGGAAAAAGAACACCTATGCAATTTAAATCTTAGGGAATGTTTTTGGTCAACGAGTCTATTAAAGAACAAAGCATCTCCAAGCTGCAACCTTTATATATAAACAGTTATCCTCTTGCAACTCTTCAAGTAACACCAGGTTTGTGTTGAAAAAATACCAAACTATTAAAATGTTGTGCAGAGAACTGTAAACTAGAAAAGTTAAGTAAAACATATTTAGACAAGGAAGAAATATTTCTTCCAGGAATTAGGAAGAAAATAGTCATGTTTTTAAGAAGTAATTATTTTAGGGACTTGGTATTTTAACCCATATGCCTTGCATTATTTTGCATAGAAGGTTTTAATTGTTGTAATTAAGCTGGCGCAGATTTAACATAAGCTATTTTTTCTGGCAGTTTGGGGAAGCTGAATCATTTTTCTAAACTTTTCTTCCTCCTGCAATTCTAACTCCTATGTTTCTACCTGAACTGCAGATAAAGTTGTGATAGAAAAATGTGGTGCAACAAATTCTCTGTGTTGGGAAGAAAAAGGGTGGAAAAGTTCAGATGGATGCTAGAACAATGAAGAGGAGAGTATCTACTGAATTTTGAAGCAATTCATTTTATAAACTACATAACCCTATGAATTTAACTTTAAAATTTAGCCAGCCTCTTAGAAAAACAGGAACAGGTGAAGAACCTGCTTACCTTCTTACACTATTTGTCAAATCAGTATCATGTAAGAGGATGAATAGGATTTAATCCAAATAGTAGCTAATACATGAAAAAGCATTCTCACCACATGAAATTTGTATTCCAGCACACTAAAGATCTCAACCCCCCATATAGCACATAGCTGTCTTTAAAAACAGGTGAAATAAGTAGTTTTGGGACTGATGGAAGGGCAGAGAAAACCTCTTTATTTCAATTCAAAGAAAGATGGTAACACATAAAAAAGCAACTTCTTTCCTTCTTTCACTAAACAGTAACTGGTATTTGTATGAATGTTTAAAAAGTCCTTGCAGCAAATATTTAGGTAGGACTCAGGTGACTTTGTCACTAGTTCATTAAGAACTATCATAAAATGTGTTCAATAATTCAATTCAATAAATAGCATGAGCTGTCGGTAGTGTGATGAAATACTGTGGGTGTGAGCTTCAGTCATGCGAGAAGTATAGTTAATCCTTTCAGCCACACACCCTGAAATACAGTGGTGTCAAAACCATAATTTGTTTCCTTCTCCCACCCCAACTAACAGGATTTTTTTAAAGACAGACTTTATACCTACAGACAGTGTATGTTCAGGTAAAATAACAAATAATTCCTAAGGGGCTTCATTTAGTTTGGCCTCTAATAATACCATCAGAATGAAAGATAAGATAAAATAAACCCTGATTTTAGATTTCTGAGTTATGTCAGCCCACGATGAACTGAATGCTATGCTTAGCACTTCTAAAACATCACATTAATGGTTTCTCTTTCCTTCCACCTCTTCAAAAGAAGTTCAAGAAAACTAACACACTCAGTGGCTGCTATCCTTTCGTATGTTCTCTCTACAGAATGATTCCTCCCTTTAGAGGGGTCTCAAGAGCAGTTTCTGCTGGGGAGCCGCTGCAGCAGGGCTCCAAGGAAGCCACAAGACCAAGAAGTGCTGGGAAAGCCAGGACCTCAAGGGCTTGGGGCTAAACAGCCTGTGTGTGTACAGAAGCTGAAACACACACACTCCTCAGCCCAAGGGAAATCAGAGTAATCTCCATGGGGGGAACTGCACTCAAAAAATGTCCTTTCCTCTGGACTTTCTGCTTTTCCTTTCCTGTGGTTTTCTTTTTTTTTTTCATTATGCAGTAACAAAAAGGAAAGCATACAGATTTGGTAAAATACTCTGAATAGTCTATAATGGCTGGTCAGAGTGATGACACTGAGCTATAAGAACATCCAAGATGACTCCAGGGGCCCAATGCATGGCAGGTACCACACCTCTGCAAGGAGCACATGGTATAGAATAAGCAACATTTGAAACTACAGTCTTGAAATGCACTTGGCTCAGAAATGCTCCCTTGTTCTTCCCATTGCAGTTTTTCCCTCATCTGCCAGTCTGGGGAAGACTGCTTACTCCTCTCCCGGTCAGCCTGTTGAGAGACTGACCCTGTCCATCTTGCAGAAGCACACAGCTGTCTGGGACAGGATCTTGTGTCTCTCGTGTGCATCATCCCAAGCCACTGCAGAACCTTCTTTGGGAGGTGAAGGCACATGAGTACAAAAGACAGCCCACAGTGTCCCTACAGCGATTTTCTGTTATTTGTGTAATGACACTTTTCTTGTAAAAGTGGCCCATTTTCCACCTTTGATGTACACAATTAAATATTCTCAGATAATCGTAGATTATCAGCACTAATCTTAATAAGGTTATGCAATAATTGTGATTGAAATGACAGTCTGGCTAATACTGAAGTTCTTTCTTGACCCAAATATTGGAATTTGTCATACTTACACTCTCAGCGACAGATCAGTTATTTTTCTATCATTGCTCTCAAGTAAATAACCCCATGAAAGTCAAACTGTAATTTTAACATGCATGTAAATTTAACTCTCAAAAAGTGTTATTAATAACACTTGAAGAAATCAAACTGCTTACAGATGCATTTAAATTGATGACAATTATTCTACATTTTAAATAAAACAGGAAGCAAACTTTTCACTGAAAGATGCCATTCAGAGCATGAGTTTAGTGCACTCTAATTTATGCACACTGACTTCAACCTTTTAATTGATCAGCCTTTCTAGGGGTGTGGTTTCATGTTACACTTAATCTGATTTTATGGCAGGCTGCTGGTGAAAGGGGAGGTCCGGTTCCCTTGTCCTCCCCCTTCCCCTTGCTCTAGCATTGACCAGCTGCACAGAATGAGTCAGATCAGCTTCCTGATCTGACCAAAAAATATGGGTATTTTTGGTGGGTTAGCAATTCTGACTATTCATTGAGCTGATCCAAAGGATACCAATCATTCTGTGGCCACACAATTGCTTCATGTCATACAAAGGAGACACAAAGCTGGAAAGGAGGGAGAAGAGCCTGAACCTTCCATTTCAGCAGCGGCCTACAGTTGAACAGGTGAAGTATACATGAAACTGCTTCCTAAGGCTGTATTTCCCTGGCAGCCTAAATCATCACAATTCCCACTGTCCCCCTCCCAGCTAAATGTTACTGCTGATCTTGCTTGAGACCCTTCTTTGAGATGACCCTATACACCAAGCTGATGGAAAATTAACCCAGTTGAAAAGAAAAGTCTCCCCTTCCCCTTTTTTCCCCATTCCTCCCCACTGCCCTGCTTCTCATCTGTTCACATGGTAAGGTAATGCACCCAGCTTACCCAGCAAAAAGCCACTGCTTTTTTTGTCAGGATTAATTTTCTACTGTTTAGAGCGCAGAATTAGCTCCAGGCACATGTTGTCAAGACCAAGAGAGAAACAGAAAAGGGGACATTGAGAAGCTGTTCATTTAGTTCAAAGGTGTAGAATCGAAACCACAGGCCCTTCGCACCTCACTGTGAAGTCTGGCAACTTAATTTCAACCCACCTCCATCAGCATGAGCTACAGCGATCATATTTGGACTGCAGTGGCTGAGGAGTACTTGGATGTTCTCTCCTCTGCTCTGGGGATGGAAGCACCAGCAGAGGTAATGGGGCAGGTCATCTAGGGGCAATAAACTCATAAACTACAGAAAAGGGTTTCCTAAAATATGAATTTGATTGTCCTAAGAGCAAAATATAGCTTCACAGCCTTTCCTAAGCTAGTCCAAAGCTTAGAGAAACCCTGGTATGAATTTAAAGATGAAAAACCTATACAGTAATCACAAAGGCTAATGTATTTTAAAAGTCTTACCACTGAAACAGGCTCCATGGCTTCTTGCTTGATAGGGACTGGGTCAAACATTAGCATCTTTTTTATTCAGCTGTTCTGATGTCTCTGATGTCCTGGCCTGCAGGGGAAAGATAAGGTGTTACAAAGCCGCAGGAAATCCCGTAAACTTTCTGAATTGTACAGAACTTACTATTTTGTCATATTAATGTGAATATTTATCCACCTCTAACATAGCTTCTTAAATATTTGACTGGGCTTCATTTAAATATTTCAGTTATTGTAAGTTTATTCTTTCCCAATTGCTGTTGAAACAAAGGGACATTTGCTCACTTTAATGGAACTAATTTGAATTTTTATTGTGCATGTCAGCATACCAAGATCACAGAACTGTCACTTTCATTAGCTGTCAGTGTATAAACACATCACAGTTTAGACTAGGCATTTCTCATCAGCATTACAACTTAAGAATAATCTTGTTTATACAAGTGAACTGATTCTGGAGAGGACATCTTTTTTCTAAGAGTCCTGGAGTTGAAACTTTCACACACAGTGACACTGAAATCAATGCAAAAGAAAGATTAAAATCCAGGACTAATTTGGAGAGGTATATTCAACATGTTGCAATGACTTAACATAAAAAAATACATCAGTTATTTGCCTGAGATAATAAACCTACTGACAATTCAACAATTTGTGCTAACTGTGCAAAAGAGAAGCATTTAAAAAAATCTGGTTGTATTCTGTGCAGCTTCACTACAGTGTTCAACCTCACTTATCCAATTCTAGCTTATCTCAAACTGCCTGAAATAAAAGTATTTAGCAAAAAGCATGTCATAACTTAACTATCATATTACACATCTGCCACGGTCAACTTGGAAAGATGCTGTGAAGGGAAGGAGGAGACACCTCTGCTGGGCAAAGCCGTAAGGTTATGGAGTAAAAAAACAAGAGAAGCAAAGGAAAGCGGTTCTCAATGACATTTAGATGTTGGCAAGCTTTTTATAAATCACTTGAGGTTATACATTATATAACTGATGTTAAAGTAGCAAGTTCTGACCATACACTGTATGGTTCCCAGCCCTGCCTGGAAGTGGTATGACCTCTGTTAAGATCTGAGGACAAAAAAAAATTACACAAATTCAATTTTGACCAGTAGATGGCACTGGAAAGAAACAAATACAGCCAGACTACAACATCCAGACAATTTCACCCTGCGGAAGTAGGCTAAAGGCTCAACAACAGATTTGTAGCTGTGGCCGGAAAATCCTCCCAGAAATCGAAATGAAAATTTAAAGATGTACCTGCTCAAATTAAAATAATTCTAATAAGCCTACACTAATGAACAATCTTGCAATTAACTATCATGTGTGTTTATAGCTAAAACTTTGTTAAGAGCTTCCAGAGAAAGATGGCATGAGTTGTTGCAAGTCTATCATTAATTATTCAGGTATATTAATAAAGTTTAAAGACTTACGGAAATATATTACAACAGTGTATTGAATAATGGAAACAAACAAGTATCAAAAGTATCTTCATAATTCTTCTTACAAAAGTCAAAGGCCTGACAAAACCAAATCGCAAAAAAGTGAAACAAACAGAGCAGCTCAATGTAATTTCCAGTTTAAACTTAACATGTAGTTTTATTTTAGAAGCAGTTGTGTAAGAATGCACTATTTGCTAAAAGTTGTGATAATTTTGTAAATACTTTAAGTATGTTTGTGAGAAGGTTATTAATTATACTATTTTTCTTTGAATGGTTATCTTTTTCAGATTTTTAACATTTCACATAGCTAGAACTAACATTTCAGAAGACTGTCTTCCCAGAAATATATCCATGTATCTATGCATTAAATACATATATGCATATCTATGCATCACTCACGCACATTCCCACACACATATATGGATTGTGAAAACAGGAAAAAAGTTATACTTTTGGACATAAAAAATGTTTAAAGTAAAATGTAGCCTGTCAGACCTCATATATAAGAATTTGGAACTACTTGCTTTCAAGTTTCCAGAAACTTTCTAAATTTTAGTTTATATGTGCACAGATAAACTGACACACCAATTTGTACTTTAGTGAAGGAAAGAAGGAAGGGAGAAACAGAGAGGGAAAAAGAGAGAAAAAAAAAAGGGAAAAGGGAAAAAAGAAAAGAGAGAGAGAGAAGGAAAGCATTTGTTCCAAGTAAGCAGTCATGCTCCCAGGCTATTCTTTTTGTCATTTTTGTTGTTTTAAAATTTGATTTTCTTCAGTTTAAGAGTTACTGCTTTTCACCTTTTACTCCAAGAAAGTGCATGAAAGACACTTGATACACATTTCACATGTCATGCTACACATTTGAGTTGTTTCCTCAGAGGGCTCTAAATTACTGTGTAGGAATTAGACTGACATAGACAACAGAAAGTGTACTGCACTGAATAAAAGTGAAAAGGAATTCTCGATCTTTCTCGGGTGCAGTCATCTAAAAACAGCAGAGGAAAACGTTACTTTTATTGCTGCATCATAGTACAGAAATTGAGCACTTCTTTATCACATTACTCTTAAGCGGTAGGTTTCTTTTCCCCATTTGATAGTGACTGGAAACCAATTTTCAAGAAAGGAAAATTAATTAATATATAATGCTTGGTTCTGTCGGTCCAGATCAGAGGGTCAAATTCTTATTTGGTAGAAAGTGATAGAGCTGCTATAGTCAATACAAACCAGCTTTGGGTCTGGCATTTAAAATTTAGCTCAGAAGGACACTTTCCTAAGGCTGCAAATAAACTCACAAAAAATTCTCTTTGTATTTAAAAATAATGCTCCAAATCTATTGCTTGGACGACATTCACAAGCAAATACGTGCATGCACACTAACACAGAAATAAAGCATGCTACTCCTACTAAGAAGTCAGTAGTTTTTCCTAGTCTATTTGTAAAATTGTGCCTACTAACTCAAAAACTCAGTCTTTCTCTCCTAAATGTTTGAGAAGGGGGCAATAGGGAAGGTAAACAGTCTTATCTGTTTCTATTACAGAGGAATGAAAAAATAGTTGGGTTCTACTTTACACACTGATTTCATAATGTACTTGTTTGAAAGCCCACAAATTGTTTAGTAAATACAACTAATTTCTGGAAAATCAAAACACTGTCTCTCATTCCTGAGATACCCCGGAAAAAAGAGTGAGGAGACAACAACATATTCATATTAAGCATATTAAAAAATAAGGGCCTTTGTCTTTCACATTATTAGATAAACTATTTTGCATTAAAGGGGTTTTTTCATGTGGGTTAAAAGAATTTAAAATGCATGTAATCTGAAACTAAATAATTAACTACAATCCAGTAGGCAAACATTCCACCCTCTTTTTTTTGCTCTCCCTCTCTTTTTCTGCTAACAAGCCACCCAGTTTTACTTTCTTGCCTCCTCCCATTCACTCCACCCTGTGGATCTCCGCCAAGTCAGTCCAACTTGTCCAAACAGGACATGGCTTTTGATAACATTTTGCTCACACCCTGTACTTCAGAAAGACAAATGAAGCAACTGGGTTTTGTATGCAAATAAGGGCAGGTGCAAGGTGAAGTCCAGGCAAAGTCCCTCAGTATTTTCCTATCTGAAGTCCAGTGAAGACACCAAGCCAGAAAAAAACAGACTCTGCCCTTATGATCCAATACGCAGCGAAGTACCCCTTCCAGAAGGGAAGTTCATCATCGATAGAGTTCATCACCTTGTCAGGATTGAAGACTTCTCAATACTAACTTCCTGACAGGTATTGTTTACTGTTTCAGAGACTTAATGAAGAGTAAATGAAAGCTTAAAGGTACTTAACGTGTATTCTGACAATAAGGACTTGTAGGGCTTATTTACCCTGGATGAAATGAGCAAAGCGGTTAAAGAATGCACCCAGACTACACATCTGCACTGCAGAGCGGCTGGAGAAGAGCAACCGCACTGCAGCTATTCCCAGCAGCTCTGTGCACCTACCTTCAAGGTCCACCAACTCTGCAGACCTGTTATGAAAGGAAAGGGTGGGGTGAAGGGCCAGTTTTGACTGTGCACATCCAACAACTATAAAGCCTCCCTCTAACACAAAGCCTTTGCTCTCATTAAATACCTGGAAGAGCACTCAGTGGCCTGACTCTTGCTGCGGACAGGGGGGTGGTGACCATAAATTCTGCCTCTCTTCACGCTGCATGAAAGCATGCATGGGGTTTGCTTTCTCAATCTTTGTGCCTGGGGGAAGCAAGGAATGCTGCCCTGTGGTACAGTGAGACTTTGTCTAGAAGCTTCAAGGTATGACTGTTATTGTTGGTATAATTACAGAATAATGTAATGATATCTGCTAAATTAGCACTGCATGAGTGTCCTCTGCAAAGACAGCGCAGCTCTTGCAGCACTGTTGGTATCTAGCAGCCGACGTAAGTCATGTGGCCAAAGCTCTTCAGTCCAAGCCCTTTGGGACTTAGGCTGTTGCTCTGAAACTACTACTTCTGTGAGCCTTGAGTCAAACTTCCCCTGATACTAAGGAGAAGTGATAATATCAGAATAGTCTCCACCGATGAAAGCCAAAGGGTGGGGAGGTTTTCTGAACCTGGGTGAGAAGTCTTTTTCAGTGGAACCTTGAAAGAGAGTTTGACAGAGAAAAAACAGTTTCTGAGAGCAGGATTCCCTGCAAAAGGTACAAAAAGTGTTTTCCAGGGCTAGTAACAAGATGTGTTTGCACTTACTGTACCAGTTGCTCATCAAGACCTGAGTCAGCAAAAGAATGTTTCTAAAGTTCCATTAACTTTAATGGGAAGTAAGCAAGCGCTTTACTGCACTGGGCCCCAAAATAGCAGCAGGCAAAGAAACTCTCCAGCTCAGCACAGCAGTCAGACTCAGTCAAAGCAAGCAAGAGCAGGGAAAGGAGCAAAGGCCCAGACACGGTGTTGGGGGAAGGGACTGGAGCAGCCAGCCCATGAAGAACAGAGCAGGGGGAAAATCATGATGAACTAGTACATCGAGAAAACGTTTCACCGATCAGCAGCCTTCTGTGTTTGTTTATTCATTGGATTTCCACTGGGAAACAGGAATAACTGTTGAAAAAGTCAGGATATTGCGTAAAAAGAAAATGGTGCCTGGGCAAAAATTTTCTGCTGAAAGTTTTACCTGATAGGCACGAAGAAAAAGAATATTTCTATAGGATTATGTTGTTTAGTATTTCAGACTATTTTTGCTTTTTATTGACGTGAAAATCGTTTACCTTCCTCCTTTCAGAACTGCTAACAGGCTGAAAAATCTGGGTTTTGCACAACTTGTGCATCCTAACTTTGGTGATATCACTTTGTTTGACCTAGAATTGCTTTGATGTAATCATTTATCAGCTGTGTAGCAGACTAATCAGTATTTCCATTAAAATTTCGATAATACTGTTGCAGGCTCTTCGAAGCCACATGCCTGGAAATGGCTTTCTTGTATGTAAAAATTTTGGGCAAAAAAGTTCTTGCAGTGCTCATTAAGAAAATGACTTCTCTACCAAGGAAAAATGGAGCCCATGTTAAAGTCTGTTCAACCTTCAGTTCTACAGTTACTGAACCTTAGGGAGAGAGAAAGAAAAGCCCTTGAGGCACCTCCATTAGACAATATTCTCCCTTATCAGGGCAGACTGCTGTCTGGTTTCCTGTCTCAAGCTACTTCTTAGAAGGAGAAACAGTCTAGTAAGGATAAAAGATCAGACTTTTGAAAACAAGTGAAGTATGTGGAATGGTATGATAATCTTTCCCTTCCAAACTGAACTTTGTTTTTTTGTTGTGTTTTTTCTTAAGAGGTAAATTTTGAAGATAATTTAAAAGGAGAAATATAAATCCTATCTTTTTATTATGAGGGAAGAATGACAGAAAATACTCTTCTCTTACGTAAAAGGTTCTGCTATTTCATGAAACATATGAAACAGAGATTCAACATTTTTGATAGTATAGGGAAGAAGAAAAAAAATCTAATCCTAAAGAAAGGAAGTGTACATTTATGAATAATAGCCTAAATGATTAATTTGAATAAGGATTTGAATACAGGGCAAATGTCAATGAACTTCTATGTACCTATGGAAGTCGGAAAAAAAAAACAGGGAGAAGAGCTGGACAGTGTAGTGGGTACAAATGAGACAAGTGATCAAAGCAGCTTAGACTCTTTAAAAGTGGAAAGTCTGTTATGCCTTCATGGATCAAGTTAGTTTGCTGGTAACACACACTGACTGCATGATAGACAGACCACACATTTGTTTTTTTTTTTCCATTCTGACTTAGTTTACTATTATTAAAAACCTGTTAGAGGCTGTATCTTTCCATTTGGCTGATCTACACTTACACTTCCTTCCCCTGGGAGATATCAACTACAGCTACAAAACCCTCAAAGTAAAACTCGGCATCAAGTGAATGCTTAACAGGGAAGGGTTAAATCTCTCCTAAAAGCAGCCCTGCCAAACTTCATATTCTGGATTGGAAGCAACTAGCCTTGGAATGAAAACACAAAAGCTTCAACACTGACAGCATAAAAGAACTCTAAAAGACCTCCTGTTAGCAGTGTTAATTAATATTAAAAAGTTGGTTTACAAAACCATTATAATTTTAATCTCAGTCCCTGATTTTGTAGAACTTCTGGCTACAAGAAGGTGTGAACCACAAAATTTACTGCATTTATTATACCCAAGTTTCCAATATTAAATGCAGTTAAATGCAACACTTTCCCTCTGTCATGGGAAAAAAAGATTAAATATGTTTGAAATCCTGTGCAAATTAACAGTACCAGAATTAAGATATTTTATCGGGTTCTAATGGATAAACTCACCCATGGCATTCTAAAATTAATAGAAAAACAACTATGTAAAAACAACTGAGAGTAACAAATTAAAATAATCAATAAACAACTTACCAAAACTGTGTGGCCAAATACTTCTTGTTATCTGGATTTCTGAACAGACAAAAAACAAGTTGATGTAAGGATGTGCACAGAATTCAGTAAAAATTATTTTTCACATACAATTAAGCCCTGAAAGAGGAAGTTTAAAGCATGTATTTTGGATACTTCTTAGAAGATACCTGCAATGACCACAACCAGCGAACTTTTAGCATCCAAAAGAGCAACAGCAGGACCTGTAAGATTACTTAAAAAAGAGTGAAATAAAAAGAGGTAAAATAAAAGGGTGGAAGTACTTCTGTTTGTACGGAAACCATGCATATTCCAGCCCATAAGTGACAGAGAAGAATAAACACTCCATCTTGCATTTTCATCCAGGGCCTGATTCAAAGCCCACTGAAGTTAATGCAAGTCTTTCTCTTGATTTCAATGAGCTTTGGCTTGGGTCCTTTAGCTCTTCTTCTGTCAGATCCAAAGCAACACAAAGATTTATGCTCTCTTTCTGAATTTCCTCTCATCTCTATGTCTGCCTGCAACAGGGTGGGGGAAGAAGACAAATATAAAAACAGGAGTAAAAGATTTATTTTTATGCCTTCAAAAATGCAAAATGTGGGACAGCCATACCTATTCATTCCAAAGAAAAGTTAGCCAGCAGTGCCTCATTTTCTGCATTACATCTGGAAGACAGCGAAATCTTCTAGTTTGTATAAGGAGAAAATACCTATTCCTTTTGAGATCTGGAAGTACAAAGTGCTTATGGTGGGCCATTCGGGTTGGGTAACGGCAGAAGCCAAAACCCTCTTATAAGTATGAGCCTACAGATGTGGATTCTCTTCTCACACTCTTTTCACACCAGTGTAACTCCGTGACTTTAATGGAGCTATTCCAGATCGGCTGATGAGCAAGTGAGAGCAGAAAACTGGCTCACAACTTTCTGTAGACTCAAGTACAAGTTGTCAGCGAAGGTAGCGAAGCTCTCCAGTTCACCCCCATAACTACACTGGAGTCGAGGGCGTGCGTTAAAGGTTAACTTGGAAACCTTATTATGACATAACACAGGCATCTTAAGCAATCGTGAGTGTGTAGAGACATGATAACTCATTGGGTGGGGATTGGGAGTTGAGGGGCAGTGACAAGGGGCCTGGACGAGGCTACCGATCTGCCAGAAAACAGCCTGAAACAGGAAAGAGCACCACATATGCCACTTGGAATGTGTGACGCAAACCCCAGCCTTGAAACAAAGAACAGGAAACAGCTCTGCTGGCTGCGCTGGGGAGAAAGCACAGAGAAACATTTAGGCGGCCCTCCCTGACCCTATATTCATGAGCAGCTGGAGTCTTTTAAAACAACAACAGTGGGTGGAGGTGTTTGTTCATTGGGTGTGAATAAAAACACCGTCCTTATGCAGGGGACCTGCCCTATTTACAAACAGGCTCCCTTAACATCAGGGAGCAGGAGATTTTTAGACACCACAGGTCATGACGATTAGCTGAAACCTTCCCTGGGATCAGCTGGTTTATTACTGTATTTACAGAATGCCAGTAGCTAAACACAGCTACAGCCTCATGACATCAAACAGGGAGCACCCCAGCCTGACAGTAAGCACCTTCTTTCTTCGCAGACAGAGCTAGGGGGATCAGACCACCGCAGGAGTGATTTGTAAAGCTAAGGGTTGCCCCCGGACAGTGTCTCACTTTTGTTCCGTATGGCTCAATAGCTGAGGACCAACATCACTCAGTGCACCCAAGAGTATTTTTCTAAGCTGTCACACACTTAGCCTTCTACATCCCTGTTTCATACGCACTCAGACTTCATCTCAGGACCTGATTTTCCATGGATATAATACTTTATTTTTGAAGCACCTAAATATACAGCTGAATAAATGAAATAAGCTGACAACATGAGGCAGAGATGTCTTGCAAGAGAGTAACTTCAACATTTGTTTTCCTTCAAAGCTGTGGTTTCAAATACTCTCTCTTACATACTTTGCATCGGTTATTTATATACTATGGGTGGGACATCTAATATTATCCAATGTGAGAATGTGTTACAGCAAATTATGTGGACGAGTACCACAGTAACACTAGTAATTGCTGTGGGGTTTCATGGCTGGAGTTTAACAACACACATGAGGTAACAACTGGCTAGTACAGCATCTACACAGCAACGTGTGGGTGTAGGTTTTATGCCGATGGTATCAGTTCCTTCCTTTCTTCATACTGAATATCTGGAAATATAAGTAATTTGGTGGTTGTATAACTCCCATCTCTATTATCTCTGGGCCTTCGACTCATCTCAGTCACATTTACATCATTATTTATCTGAAGACTTTTGCTTTTGGCTAAACAGGTGTTGCCTAGGTCAAATCCTCACAGTACCTAAGGGCTCCCTCGCAGCTCTGCTGCTTAGAGGAAATTTTGCTCAGTTTCTCAGGGAAGTGAGCAACCATTTAGTATCTTCTCCCCCCCCCCCCTTACCCCCAGTTTCCCAGCTGGGGGGGGCAAGTATTTGCCTTTGGGAAAAAAATAAAAAAGTCCACTCAAGTCAACTTCAGGGTTTTTGTATTTTGATACTAGGCAAAATATTCTTAAAAATACAAGAGGAAAGTTAGTTTGAAATAAATCTCTTCTGGGTCAGGCAGGATTATCAAATCCAGATGTAATTCCTCTCACACAAGCAGCAGCTCCTCCTGCGATTAACGAGACAGTGCATCTTAAAAGTATTCTATGGAAAACTCACTAGTGAGCAGCTGTGTAATTCTTTGTTTTCAATACAGGTAATGAACATTTATGGATGTTTAAATAACGTCAAGTCTTCAGAGCTCTCCCATCAGCCACCCAAATTCAGCTTTTCCCAACAATAAAACCTTCAGAGTTCAGCTCCACAAATAGTGACACTTCCTGAATTTTCGAAGGTGAGGAAACCAATAAAACACAGCAGACAGCGCAGGTACAGTACCCGAATCACCAGGGGAGTACACAAAGCAACTTTAATGTATTTTTTTCATATAACTATTGAAGAACTTGAGGTATTCCGAAATAGATCTTTCGCCCAACCTCCGGTTAGGTGATCTCCCAGCGCAGGCGCCTGCCGCCGAACCTTCCTTTTCTAGGGCTCCCCTAGCTGTGCCAGGCACTCACCTGACACAGGTCCAAAGCAAATAACTCCTATTCCCATTTCGGCTTTAAAAAACCCCAACAAACGGCATCCAGAAAAGGGAAGCTAATTTACGGTCGTTTCTTCTCACTCCGCACTTAGCTGCCGTGCCGTGCCGTCCCAGGCGCTACGCCTTTTAACTTCGCCTACATCACGGCTAAGCGGTGGTAAGGTTAGACGACAATACGAAGGATAAATTCGGGAGAGCCGGCCTCATCCTTGACTTCACCGGCAGTGGGAGCGGGGACACGGCGCCGCCGATCAGCCTCGCGCTGCTGGTGGGACACCGCCAAGACGCGAGCTCCTGCCCTGCCTGGCGTCTCCCCCACCGCCCTCAGAACCGAGGGAACCCGCTACACTTTTCACCTCACGACATCCCGCGGGGGATCCGACGACGCTTCCTCCCAGTCTCTAACCGAAGACGAGCCTCTCGCACCGCGGCGGCCGGGCGGGCGGGGGCCGCGGCCCCGCTCGGCGGGAGGGCGGCCCTAAGGGGCGGGG